TCAAAATTTTGTGGGCACAAACCCCGATTTTGCAGGAAAAATCTCCCTTTAAACCACTGTACTTTTTTTTTTTTTTTTTTTTTGCTGATACTAAGCATGCAGTGCAAGGAATAGTTGTAGGAAAGGCTAGGTGACAAGTATGGATGAGAGGGTGAAGAGAAAAGCTGTCAGGAAACAGATACTGAACCACACAAGTTCAGTCAGTTGCCACACTACTGCTTCCTACTTTACCCACCAGCCTCACAAACGGAGTAGAAGAACTGCTGGAAATCAGGCACTGAACAAGCAGCTCTGCCATGGCTCAGACATGTCCCTCTGTCTTACAGGACTGCCAGGAACTGGGCTGCAAAGGGAAGCACCACTTCCTTTAAGGCACTGCAAAGGGAAGGATTTCTCGCATGTATGCTTTACATGGGTGTATGCTTTATGTGGGGTATGGGCCTGGCTCTGAAAACCATCTAAATCAGTAAAAGACCTTCAAACAACTTATACAAGACCCTACTACTTAGCAAAGCATAATAAAAACCAATATTCAACATTAAAAGTGTTTCTCTCAATGTAAGGTTACCTTATCACTCCAATTTTTCACAGAGCTGATCTCTGTCAAGACAGGACATGGTTGTGTAAGTTTTTATCCCACTTTTCTCTTGGAACCCAAGTGTTTTCTTATCAGAGAAGAAATGTGTTTAGTTTCTTTAGCACTCTGTAACAGTACAGGTTCATTCCAAAGATCAAGTAACGTGTTCAGCTGGGGCTTCCCCTGGGTGTAAAATACCCTTTATCATAAGCTTATAGGTTTTTAGTCCTTGAAATGAAACTCCAGCTGACAACAGTGATTTTAAAATTGCATTTACTGGAATGATGCCAAATAATACTTCAAATTAAATATCTGAGGATGGATGACGGCCTGGAAATTTTTTTGAACGGTAACAGTGGTCCATTGATGCAAAACTTTTGAGAAGCTCTTGTATCTATTAGCAAATGTCCTCTGTCTCACAGAGGGACTGAGGAAGCACTCTGTCTCTGATTACAATCCATGTGACTGTGGGACATGAACATGAACATATGGGATCTTATTAGCCATTCCTGGCTTTCTCCAAATCATGTGCTTCAAAGGCACACGCAAAAAAAGTCATTACTTTTCCCTTGTATTTCCTACATTCTATTCCCTTTTATCCACTTTAAAAGCCACTGTCAGACTCCAGGAAACAAACAGTTTCAAAGCCATCTCCTTTCAAAAAGTAATTGGTGTTCTCAAAAAAAAAAAAAAAGCAGTCTTTCTTGCAGGGCAGACCACATAGTTCTTACTCACTCATGTGCTGCAAGCCAAGGTTGGGCACTCACAGGCATAACCCATCATGTGCTTGGATACACCAGTGGCTCTGGAAATCCATTTATCCAGTGGCAATGGGTTCTACAGCTTAATTATGCTCTCTGAGAGTAAGTACTCTCTCGCATTCATTTCAGCAATGGCTTTACTGTGGTTTCCATCACACCTAGAATGTGTCCCAAACACTTAAAAGTAATAAAAAGTTATAAAGCAGAACTTAGGCTTAAACAATTAAGAAAAAAATCAATCCCTGAACAATTCCCCCACCCACCCATCTTGTACAATGAAATCACGTTTTAAACGCTGCACTGTCCCCGAAGCTACACTATCCCATTTTCTTCTAATGTTCCCTAGCAGGGTTACCACCAGCACAGCTCCAGCTGAGCCACCAGCATTTTCAGCAGTGTGTCTTCTGAACGTCCTCAGAATAGCCAGAAGTAAGTTACTGCCGCTTTGAAACAGAATTTACATTAGGAAAAGTCTGTCTCTTATTAGTTAGGCAGAGTACTGGAAGCACCAGCAGCCAGTTGTAAAACTTCATTTGTATCCAGAATTCCAAAGCCATTATTTAATTTGTTTGGAAAAAATGTAACTTGAAAAAAAAAGCCAACAAAATAATTAAATAAGAAGACGTGTTTGTTATTAAAGATCCATAAAAATGCAAGTAGGCTTGAAATCCAAAGGCTCTGAAAATTAACACTGCAAGTACATAAAAAGAAAAGCATACTGAATAGGGCTGGCTAGAAAACAACAATTCCATTTTGCTAAACATTTCAAAGCTTTGAAATTTGTTTTTGTTCCAATATGAAACAAAAATGAGACTTTCTCAAAGTTTTCATGAAACGAGAATAAGAGAAAGAATATTCACTCCCTCTGGACCTGAAAAAAATCTTCCCAACAAAGCTGTCTCCAAAATAGATAATGTTTCCATGAAACATTCTGGTTTTGATGAAACAGCATTTTTCAACAGGAAAAAAAGTGTCAGCAGAAATACCATAGCCATTCTAACAGCAAAGGCTTATCTAGATCGGATGCTTGTACGAATAAATTATGTTCAGAACTGAACCAATCTAATTATATTTATATAGGTCCCCATGAGAACATTGTATCAGTCTCCTTAGAAAGATACTCTGTAAGATAATCAATCTATTTAATTTTTTTTCTTGACTAAAGATATTTTATTTGAAGAACGTAAGAGGAATCACAGAATAGGCAAAATCTGAGACATACCATAAGTCAATTTATTACTTACCTGGGGGAATTTTTCTGTAAAGCTATTGACATTTTTATTCCAAAAAAGAATGGCTTTAAGATCGGCAAGATTTCTTTTTTTAAGAACCTTAAATTGTGGTTCTAAAACCATATAGATTTAACAGAATTAAGCTCTGCTGTACTGAAGGAAAGTCTGTGCTTGAAAGTTCAAGCCATACTGGGCAGCACTGCAGAAAAACTTAGTGCAGTAAGAAGTTCTGCAATGAAAGGGAGATGAACTAATGTTTATAAGTCTCTGAATCTACTGAAGAGGAAGAAAACACTCATATTTTATGGAATATTGCACACAAAAATTCCTTACTCTGCTAAGTGTGTATTTGTGCATTAGCATATTTATGCTCACTTTGGAGAACAGTTGGCTCAAGCACAGCTGGATGCCCAAAAGTGGCGATGAGGACATTTGATTGAACAAAGCCAGGTTCAGTTGTACCAAAGAATGTTGGTCACAGAAATAAATAAAAATGCAGATCATCTTTGCCTGCCACAGCAAGCAACATGTTCTTCCATTAATTGTTCTCACCTTCCTCTTGTAGTTCTCTGCAAAATCTTCATTCCAGCTAAGCAGCAAGATTTTCCTTCCCATCTCCTGCAGTACTGCTCAATGTCATCTGTGGAACTCAGGGATTGCAGCTGCACTTCACTGAACATGCCATAGGCATCCTGGACAAGGAGGCACAACCTGCAAAACATTCCTCTGTTACTCACTGACATCTGCTCATAACAAACCAGTGAGCAAAGTTCTGAAAACAATACTACAAACTTCAGGACAGGGCTTATCCTCCGCAGTATCTGCAGAATTCCTATAAAGTAACGTATCAATAAACAAACCCAACATCGTTAAAGGTTTTCTCATGTACATTTTCAGGACGTAACAGGGCCATGAAGCAGAGAAGCATGACTGAAACAAAGAGTACAAGGCTTGCACTGGGGATTAGATTAATTAACTGCTATGCACTATGTGGCTTGTGTACTTAAAAACAAAGAAAGTGAAGTTTTTGCCTTACTTGAGGTAAATTCGACAATAAAGACAGAACAACAATTTATTGTCTTTATTCTAGAATAAAGACCAAAAAAATATGTGTGTGTTTAAATATAAAAATTCTGCTTAGAAGTAAGCAAAGCAACATATTTCACAAGTAATAATCATCGAGACTGGCAAAGCAAGCGTTACATTTTCCCACACTCTTTTTTTAAAGAGTCCTCAGGATGCAAAAAAGAATGACACATCAATTTTTCTTTAAAGAACAAAACTAAACAAAACAACACAGAACTGAAGATTGGTATATTCGGAGTTGGGTATGAAGCCCAGAGGAACTATTTTAAGAAGGTAATTAAAGAACCTGCTAAACAAACAATTTGATTAAAATCTATGGAAGTAGGGGCTGTAGGGCTGGGAAGTATTGCTTAACCAACTTGATGGCATTTTGAGAAGATAGTACTGTCATAACAGATAAGGTAAAATCAGTGGATGTCATACATTTAGATAGTCAAAAGTGCATTTCACAAGATTCTGCACCTGAGATGAGCAGCCACGATAGCATGAATCATGCAGGGCTGGAGGAAGGAGGCCCCTGTCTACAAGATTGGTTTTAATTGCCTCAGAAAGAGACAGTTAAGCATGGAAACTTTTCAAAGGGAAATAAAAATTACCTTTGAGGGTAGCACACACATCTTTGTTTCCAAATAAAACTCAGGGGCACATTAGGCAGCAGAATTCAGTTCATTTCAAAGGTACATGCCAAAACTACCCTCCCCAGAGTGGCACCATTGCTCCCAGCAAGCCAACTCCAACTGCTTTTGGAACACATCCTATAACATACATGCACCCTGAAAGCATTCAACAGCAGTCATGATATCTTTACAAAATACATTTCAAACTAAATGAGCTCCTACCCTGCAAAAATTCATGTATTTTCTTCACGTGGAAAAGCAGGCACATGGAAGAGCACTAACCACACTTTCCTCGTTCATTATGAAGTGCCTAACTTTGGCTTAGACCCTCAAGAAGGCTGCATTTGATATAAGACACAACCCCAAAGGCCTTCTGACATCAGCAATTGTGCAAGCACCAGCTAAGAGTCCTCATTTTGTCAAATGCTGGTGCTGGTTGTGAGGAGCAGGGAGGAATAGGACTGGGTACAAAGAAAGACTCCCCTATTTTCCCCATACCTCTAGCTACAAAGGTCCCATACAAACCGAGTCATCATCAGAAAAAAACCCAAAACAAACTAGAAGAACTATGTTTGCCTGCTGCTTTCCATGTTAGGAATTTGAATACAGTTAAGAGCTCCCCCGAGTTTTAACTGATTTGACTGAAACTTCCCCTGATATTGTTTTGTTTGGAAAACCAAGAGTTCATATTCTCTGAACATTTCTGAAAATCAGATTGAGGGGAACCAGAAAAACAAACCAAACCATTTTGCCTATGTTAACAAAATGTTGACTGTTAATTGTGAAAAATTAGGCCTCCATATCTCGGTGTAAGAAGGGCCTGAATCTGAGTTAGTGTCTCAGATCAGATCAGTTCAGCAGTCTCTTAACTGATCACTGGAATTTCTCATATCTTTAGTGAGACATAACTGAACACAAGTAAGTCTCAGACTAGCTGGCACCAGGGTCATATTAAGTCCTCTGGGACATGTTAATTGCCCAAATAAAACTAGCTTGGTTGGTGCTGAAGACATCAGTCAGTAAAAGAGCATTTTCCAAGTCCTTTTAAGACAAGCAAAGAGATGGTTTCTGTCAGACATGGGAATCTCAACTCCCTGCATCCCGGGCCACAGATTTCCATTCCTTTGTGGTGGAACATAAATGGCTAGGACAGGAAACTCATCTGATCAAAAAATACTGTAGCCAAATCATCATCAGCAGCAGCATCATCTGAGTTTCTTGAAAATCAACTCTTTAAAAGTAAAAAGCTCCTATTTGCATGGAGTACTGCTTCTAGGCAAGGATGTATTTTCCTTGAAGCTCCCACTCCAGCTGTCCAAGGTATGCAGCATATACAGGAATCTCAGGTCACGACAGGAGAATGGTCATCGTATGACCATGCTCAATGCAGAGAAGAACTGTGTCATTGGAGGCTTCTATCAGGAATGCTCCCATGCACACTGGGAATACATTCATGGTTACTGGCGTCACGAAGAAAGGAACACAGAGCAGGAGATTCCCAGTGCCTTTGCTCTGTCAGGTTTGTACACAAGCACAGACAGACACTATATTTACTACACTTGCTCTTAACAGTGTCCAGAAGGTAGTCACAGTTTCTCTGCAACATGCATTTAAAATGAAATGTGTATATTCACTCACTTGGAAGTCAGAATTTCATTAACAACCCTTCAGACACCCAACTGCAGAGAAATATCCCAGATCAACACTGTGAATAGAAGTTCACAAACACATTCTCCCTGCTTCCCCATGCCTTTAAAACAGTATCAATGAATGATGGCAAAACCTTGAAATGCTATAGGTGTTTGAGGGACAACTGATTTTCCCACTTAATGACTTAATGAAATCAGCTGTATCCCACAAGAGATTTAGTAATGCACTTGGAGAACTACCCTCCTGTTCTCTGGAACAGGTTCTGTTCTTATGGATTTTGTATATGCTGTCAGCATCACTGACACATGCTGTCAGCATCACTGAGCCCATTGATTCATGACCTTCACTTCCTTACCAGTACTCTTTTTTCCCCTGATTTCACTTTATTCCAAGAACAGTGCATTTGGATTATTTTCCCATGTTGCAGAGTTGCTCTCATGTTACAGCAAATGTTCTCACAAATTAACTTTTAGCAGGCAGTCTAACTGTGATTAAAGCCAACAGCTTGTCCCATTGCTTTCCCCCCACCTTTGAACCTCACTACCACAAAGAAAACCCACATCAAAATTATGAGACAAGCTGCAAAGCCAAAATGAGTATCTGCCCCCCAGGAATTCAGCATTTATGTTTTGTGCACATCTATAGGAAATACCTTTTTTTTTTCATAAAATTTGGATTTGTATCAGTAAATAATGTTAAACATACCTTTACCAATGCCTTGTCAGCATGCATAGTACTGAAATATTAAAAAAAGGACAGGCAACATCTCCAATTTAATCAGTGGTGCTTGTGAAGGGAGGAAATAAGGGCTATCTTTATTTTTGGGACAACAGGATGTAACCCCGTGTAAGACCCTTGACTTAAAATATGGGTTTGGAAACTCAAATGTCTCACATAAAAGAGAGAACTCACTCCTGGAGAGAGGGGTTGCAGGAAAACCAGTAGAGGAACAAATGTAGGAGATGCAGACTAAGGAAAAGGTGAAGTATGACACATTGATAATAGCAAAGGGGGAGAAGATAGGGAATGATAAGAAGTGAGGCAGAGTTTAGCTTTTTTTTTTTTTTAATGTAATGACACAGTAAGTCTCATGCAAAAGCTTGGGAAGATTTTGTTAATTTGCTAATAGCCAGAAGCAAGGATGGGGGCTGGAGGAAGATGAGACTGATTGCTCTGCATTATTTCTATGACTGTGCTGATCTTTAGGACAAAACGTCTCCCAGTAGAAATCTGGAGAGGATTACAGGATTAATGCCATGCCCTTCTCCCAGTTAGTCACTCTTCATGGTCTAAAGGGTAAGCCCTTCTTTTACTAATATGTTTCTATGCATGAAAAATCATCTCTTTCCATACTGCTGCTTTTATCAAGCAGCTGACTTTCTGCAGAGGTAAGGGCGATGAAAACCTTCTCCATTTTTGGTCACCTCCAGCCTCCTCAGCAGCTTGGGGACAAGAACAAGAAAAGGAAGATCTGCCTGGAGAGGAGATGAGAGCGCAGGGAGGCCAGAGCGGACTGATTACACAGACACTGCCTTTACTGAGTCTCGGGAAAACAAACAGCAGAAATTTGTCATGAGCAGATCTCAACCAGCAAGTAATTGTTTTAGCCTTGGGTAGGAGGACAATTGTGTGGCCCAGGGCAGCTCTTCTCCATGACAGCTACGCTGTGCAGTACAGCACGAGGAGCAGGACAGCCAGGCAAACACCACCACCCTTGCAGCACTTTGCACAGACCTCCTCAGCTGCTCTTTCTTTGGGAGTGAAAGGGGGGAATGGGAAAATGCCTGAAAACTAATTGACTTGTATTAGCTCTGATATTTGCTCATTCTTTATCTTCACCATCCATGAGACAGCTGCTGCTGCTTTGTTTGTCAGAAGGACTGCTTATCTCTGTGAGGTGCGGTCCTAGCAGAGGCATAGAGCACACGTACATAAACACACACAAACAAAACCCCCTCTCCCTGCATCACCAGAGGCACAACACTACCTACACAACTCCAATCCAGCAACTTGTCTGGTCAAGTCTCAAGGTGGAGCTGATTAACTCCTGCTAATATGGCTCAGATTCAAATTGTAACCTGCAGGACACCACCCTAGCTGGGTTTAATCTATCCCTACCTTATGAACTCCTTGCATTCACCATATCCATACAGTAATTGAAAAATCAAGCTCAAAGCACAGGGACAACTGTCCATCTTCCCCCTTTCAGCACTAACATTTCTCTATTTAACACTATTATATATCTATATTTTATTACTTTAATTTAACACTATTATTTATATATTATATACTATAATCCTATTTAACACTAGTATTTCTCTATTAAAATCATAAAATAAGTTCCTTCATGCTCTCTTT